TTGTTTCTCGCATCGTTCTCTTCGTCGCTCTTTCGTCCTCCCCCTCCTTCTCATCCTCCCTTTTCAACTGTTTTCCCTCTCTCTCTCCCGCTCTGATCGATTGCGCGCCTGTTTCCCTTTCTTGATCATCTGAATCTTAGACCCGTCTCGCGCTGCTTTTCGCGCCTCATCTCTTCATGCTCATCGACCTTGGCTCACGAAGCCCGGTTAATCCTTCGATCACCCCAGCTCACCAATTAGACGCGTTGAGTAGGAGGAACTTCTTGCTACGCGATGGATCTGATTGGTCTACCATTGGGCTCGGAAGCTTCAACATGGCTTCCGTAGCGCGCTCCTCGTTAAGTCTTCTCCTCCTGCTTCTTTTCTTACACTTCGATTTCCCCCCCCCCCCTTCTCGCCAATATAAATTCCGCAAACGCGCCCGCAAATCTCTCTTACATTCTCGACTCTCAAGCCTGCTTCCGGGAAGCAGTGGCTAGGCAGAGTGTTTGGTGCATGTCGGAAAGTCTTGTCGGGCTGACGATAGGCTGGCCGGTTGCGCACTTGATCGCCACGACGGACAGTGGGATCTAGGCGAACCGCGTCGAGTTTACGTCGGCGGGGTGACGATCGGAGTGCTGGGAGTTAGCACGCGACGACAGAGATCGTCGGTGCGGGTATGAGGATCGATGATTGGAGTTGAGTGGGTGATTGACCCGGGGCCATATTGGAATTCACGGCGAATGCGCCCTTGTTGTTGTGGATCTTTATCTCTGGTGTGAGTGTACGGCGACAACGCCGAACTTCCTCTTTTCGGATTTTGTCATCTCCTATCTCGACATTCCTTCCTCGTCTCTCTCTCTCTCTCTCTCTCTCTCTCTCCTCTATCTTTGAATGACGATGTGTCTTGATGCTTGTCCCTCATGGATGGGAATGGATTTGTGTGCTCTCTTGTGTGAAGGAATTTCTTTCGGAACTCTTCCATTAGTTTCCTGGGTAATCCCCGAATGTCGAAGAATTGATCCTCTTGTCTTGTGAACGGTGGATGCGTGTGTACAATTCCCTCGGTTGATTTCCGACCTATGTATCCCTGTCATTTTCACACCTTCCACAGTGAATGTATGTATGGAGATGCTTGCCTTTTCGTGTTGATTAGACGCAACACTCGACGGGATTTTGTTCGAGAATGCAAGAGTGTTTAGATCTGTAGTTCTGAATGCATTGCACATGTCATCTGCCTTATGCTGCACGACATCTGCAGCCGATCTTTAGGGCGGCCTCGAGAACCAAGGCGCCCAAGATCAACGTCGCGGTGGCTTACTAAACCTGAGTCGCGGGTCGGTCCCTCAGTTACATGCATGATCAAGCTGATGAGTGCTTTCTCTCCCTCGTGTTGAAAAGAATTGATTGGTGGTTGTGCGAGTGTTTTTTCTTGATGACGTCTCGGGATCTTTGCAATTGATTGACATGTGGACTGACCAACGCCCTTCGATCGGGCGTCAGCGTCCCGTATCTCCCGTGTCGACGTGACCTTTTCCTTACGACGAGGAAAGGACACGTGTATGCGAGTGGGACGTACGAGAAGCTGTCGCACTTATCGGCGGACGTTATTACTTCCCTCCGGGAAATCGTTGTTCAGGGTTCGTAGAGGCTGGGTTTGTCATTATCGATACACACTTTCCACCTTAGTCAATACTGTTGCCATTTAACGAGTTGATCGTCATCCCGTGGACGGCAGTAGAACCCCACTGGCCTCGCACTCTATGCACCGAGTGCCAGCGCCTTGAGCGCTACGAATCCAAGGGTTTCCACTACCGCGTACGGAGTGAAGACGAACACAGGGAAAGAGCCACACGACTGAGGCCCTCCACAACGGACTCGGAACTGACTGGTGAACGACGTCGGGACTTAAACCACCACTACCCCCGCCGTCCAAAATTTGGGGGGACCGGTAGGCCAAATTGTGGATTCTGCTTTTGGCCTGCCGGTAGCTGTGTGGTGGTCCCGCCACCGTCTCAGGTCTCCTTAGTTGTCCCAAGGGGGGGGCGGGGGACGCAGCACCCGAAAAGGTCGCAGCCTCTGTAGCAGTTCGTTATCCTGTGGGGGCTCGTTATCTTTTCTTTTGCACGGCAGTCCATCTTTTTTTATTTTTTTTATTTTTTTAATCCCCTGGTTCTTTTTTTTTTTTTTTTTTTTATTAGTTCATGTTTTAGCTGGCCTACTTCGACTACTGCCGAAGTAGATAAAGGACAAAATGGCTCTCTCTACAATGAATCTTTCACAAGAACATGGGAAGATACGCCGCCATATTGAGCCTTGCTCCACTACTCACGACAAGCATAGAAGACAAAACTCATGGCAGTGTATCTTTCCATGTTCTAGGGAAAGATTCACTCTCTATTTGCACATTTCGAGAGTAGTGGAGCGAGGCCCATTGGAGAGAGAGAGGAAACGGACGTAGCGGCGCAGTGAGAGAGAGAGAGGAAGCGGACATCGCGGCGCAGAGAGAGAGAGAGGAAGCGAACGTCGGGGCGCAGAGAGAGAGAGAGAGAGAGAGAGAG